TCGAAAGAATATTTGTGCGTGTCGATCGCTGTTCTTTTAACTGCCGACTGAGAAAACGATCGAAGAAAATTCTATTTCAATAAGAAAGGTAGTTAACTGTTGCACAAGGACATGTTTTTAATAAAAAAAAATATGTATCGTCTGTATTTAATTTTTCTGCATATCGCCGACGTTTCGTCGCAGGCGTACGAGTCGGATATTGAACTTAGTGAAGAAGGTAATGAGTTTAATATATCTCATACACTTGAACTGATCAGTACATCGTCGATTTCAACACTGAAAGTCTGTGCTCAGTCTTGCAGTGAAAATCCCATTTGTCGGACATTTGACTATGATTCCGCTTCTCTCCGTTGTCGAATATTCGAAAGTGAAGTTTCAACCGGTAAAATCGTTCCCTCCATCTCGCCAACGTCGAAAGTCGGATCAATCAAGTACTCTTTGCATTTGTATTTGGAATTCAATCAGCCATGCGATAAGTGCCGGTACAATCGCTACCTAACATGCGTCAACAATTTGTGTCAATGTCCCCAAAAATCGTACTGGAACGGTACCATCTGTGCTAATCCACTCTACGGCGGTGCAGTGTGTAATGATTCAAGCTGATGTCGAGCAGACGTGAATCTGACGTGTTCACCGTACAACTTGTGTCGTTCAGGTAAGTTACAGATTGTCTAAGTCAATTTGTGCTTTAGAAAATGTGGGCACTAGAAAAATTGGGTACGAGGAAAGTTGAGCAGAAGGAAACTTGAGCACGAGAAAGTTAAGTACCAGGAAACATGAGCACAAATCTATAATTTATCTATTAGTTTTTTTGTCTCATAAACAGCTGAAAAACGTTACGGGAAAGTTTAACAGTAACATTATTGGTAATATTACTTGTATGAAGACGAGCATGACAGTTTTGAGAATTATAATATATGCAAACGCCAATATGTAAATGTCAAAAATAAAAGAATAATTCCTCTTAGATAGAAAAATCGAAATAGTATGAGAGTAGAATAAATTGTAAAAGAAAAGTATATGTGTTTTTGACCGATTGATAAAGAATAATCTTTTGCACATAGCGGTTAACTGTCTTTGAAGAAGTAGTCAAATCAATTAGAAAAGAAAATCAAGCTTCTGTATACGTCTATATAAAAATTATCTATATAAAATGAAATCCGGGTAACATCCGAGTAACAAGAAGGATACAGAAATACTCGCGGAATAGAGGAATTACCGACCGTAATCGATTTTGAAACTCTCCCTAAATTGATCTATACGTTTCTCGCGAATTCTGAATAATCGCTCATACAGGTGGTTTCTCCGTTGTCTACGGTTAAGTATAGGCTTTAGCAACAGTCCTCGTACAAAAAAGTAGTGATGTATGGTGTTGTCCTTCTCCTTCGTTTTGCGAATATGCAATAATGTGTACTCTTTCTGTCGTCCTCAAATCTTTCTCTATTCCTTACTCCATTTTTTCTATATTAATTTTACTTGAAATATGCTTTGTGCACACATAACAAGAAAAGGTTGTGGATAAACGCCGTAATATCCTGTCTGCATATCATGGCCCGAAGAAAAAGCCGGAAAGTCTTGGTAGCTCAAAAAGTTCTTTGAAAGTCCGTCTGAAATTTTCATTAGAACTAAAGTTTTCGAATACTCAGCAGCAATATTGTCTGCCGTATAATTCAAAAACTCAACGGTATCTTTCTCTAAAAACAGACTGGACATAGACTACAAGTCGTAATGCTAACAAATTACAGACTGGAATATGTCTAACTACTTTTGTATAAAAAAAACAATGATTAAGCTTTCTTCTGAAAGTTTCTCTTTTGTCATAAATAAAATATTTATATTTAATGTCATGTTTTCTACATTCTTCGTTTAACAATAGATTCTGCTTAAAACAATTTCGTAACATCAAATAATACCAGTTAAATATACAAACCAATAAAGTCAAGTATAGTACAGAAAAAAATATATACATATATGTTCTTTCTGTTATACGATAGTTCCGTGTCCTTTTCCTCAGACAGATTAAACAACACTGTTTCAACAATTTTCTTTCCAATTCAGTTACCGGTGAACGATTTCTCTTATATCGATCAAAATAGGAATGTTATAAAAATCATAGCTAATCTCTGCATCTTGACCCTTATTCCGTGGCAATTTTCCACCTTATGATAACAATAAACAACTTTTAAATTCAAAAATAGAAAATTTGGGTCTTGCTTCCAGAGCTACTAAATTAAATTCTGGTGAAGTAGAGCGGATAAGCTAATCATAGACGCTATTTAGATGACAACCAGAAAGGTCCTCAAAAGTGCAATCTTTCAGGAAAAAAAACGCACTTTTTATATTAAATCATATACGCTGATGAAGGTACAAGTGGTTATAGACAGACATATTATAAATATTTCAATATTTTATTTGACACCAGTACGTTTCCTCGATGACGAACGTTTTTTATCCGGACGAACATCAGTCGTTGATCCAGCTCTTTTATCGGGTGACACTGCTCGGTTTCGAAAGGAAGCTGGAGGTGATGATTGTTCATTGCTAATTCCCATTGAATTTCTTAAATTATTTCTTTGCTCAGTCTCTTCAACTGCCTGATTATCGTCAAATTCATCGTCATCTTCCTCCTCCACTTCGTCTACAACTACTGTTTTTGTTTGCTTTTCACGTATCGCCTTCAAATCTGATCAGACTAAGTTTTAAAAACTCGACCGGTGTGAAATAGAATCTATCCTTCAAATCGTTCTTTCGCTGCATTTCAGCTGATACTTCCTCTGATTTCCATCGAATTCTCTGTTGTACACCCTCATCGAACTTTTCCGTGAGATATTGTATCTGAGATTCATTCAGACGTGACACTTTCGTTCTTTTAGCAAAGCCCATCCTCTGTCAGGTGGTGTAATACGGTTTGTATCATCACCATCATCAAGTGTAGTCTCTTCTAATTGAAGACAAATCATTGATCTTACCCCAATATTTTCCAGTTTCTAGCGATAGATAGCCATACCCATGTCCCTCATGGAACTGCGTTCTATTCGACGTCGATGTTTTCCTGTACGTAAATGTTGAGTTAAATTTACGTATCTGATAAACGAAAATACACATCCCCCTTCAGGACAGTCATACAGCTTACTTCTATTAGCCTGAACCGCCGATTCGACTGTAATTGTTGTGGTAATCGAGGAACGGTCGAAGAGAGCTTTACGAGAGCTTTTAGCAATCAAGAACCAAATGGCACCTAAATGCCATTTTTGTCAGAAGGAGCTTCGCTACTTAAGACATATAATCAGTGCCGATGGTATACGTCCAGATCCGGAAAAATTACGCGCAGTAAGTGATTTTCCGGTTCCGTTCAAAGTTAAAGACATGTGTTCATTCCTCGGATTAACCGGATATTATCGCCGGTTTATCAGGAGTTATGCTACCATCGCGGAGCCTCTTTTGAAATTAATTCGCGGTAGTGAGGAAATGTAACGGTCACGGTGGCCCCGTTACATGAAAACTGTGGAAAATACATGGAAATCTTAGTTCGACTGTAAAGATCAATGAGCTTGTAACTATATGAAAAGATGAATACTAGAAACAACTTGTAATACAGTAGCGAACCTTTTTGTGTGCGCATTCCATGTAAATGAGAGTATAGTTGTTGCTATACTACGAATGGTTGTACTCCATTTATAGAAAGCACCCATCACTCTCATCCTTCCTACATTTCAACTTTCGTACTTTAAGCGCACATATTATTTAGAGAAAAGATTCGAATCGAAATTATTAACCGTTATTGTTTTCCTGTGCGAAAACAATAATTGTTAACAATCATATAACAATCATATAAGTTTCAAAAAAGTTTCAGAAAAATAATAGATCCTGCTTAAAACAATTTCGTAACATCAAATAATACCAGTTAAATATACAAACTAATAAAGTCAAGTGTAGTACAGAAAAAAATATATACTTATATGTTCTTTCTGTTATACGATAGTTCCGTGTCCTTTTCCTCAGACAGATTAAACAACACTGTTTCAACAATTTTCTTTCCAATTCAGTTACCGGTGAACGATTTCTCTTATATCGATCAAAATAGGAATGTTATAAAAATCATAGCTAATCTCTGCATCTTGACCCTTATTCCGTGGCAATTTTCCACCTTATGATAACAATAAACAACTTTTAAATTCAAAAATAGAAAATTTGGGTCTTGCTTCCAGAGTTACTAAATTAAATTCTGGTGAAGTAGAGCGGATAAGCTAATCATAGACGCTATTTAGATGACAACCAGAAAGATCCTCAAAAGGGACCTTGATCGGTAACAGTGATTTGAAATGATGTAACTTGAGATGGTTTAGAACTATATTTTCCTTATCCTAGCTCACATCTGTAAACGCAAGATTAGCAGGACTAGTCGTTATCCTCCGAGAAACAGTTGTAGAAACATGGATCTGAAGATAATCAAGATTTTTCTGCTTCGTATAAGCACAGATTAGTAAAGCGTAGTTAAGCTGGTTCAAGTATTTATAAGTCAAATCCAGGATAAACGCACGCCAATAAATACCTTGAACAAATCAGTTAAATGATTTACTTCACGTAAAATAAAATCCAAGTGTGCCTATATGAGTAAGATTCT